CAACCGTTACTTGTGTCTTTATGTCTAATTAGTAACCTATTCTTCCATAATAACTCAGATGTAAATAACAATATATGGTTGTATGATCGCCGATTATAGGTTTCTTTTGGAAAGGCTCCAATGTTAAAATAGAATGAAACTAGTAAATATTTGGAAGATATAAATCTGCTCCTCTAAACAAGAATGATGTGGATATTTATTACTACTTCAAAGATCTGGTGGGTACGTCAAAAGAAGTACAGGACAACCTTTTCATAATTTACTCACGTTCGTAAAGATGTTAGAGAAATCACACTATGCTGTCTTCTTTCTTTTCTGTTCCGCATGACTATAATCGTTTCAATGCATTCTTTTAGATTGTAAAGGAAAAAGAACATCGTCTTCTAAGAGCATGCGGTAGAATGAAAATAATTATATGGGCATTAGCGCAACTCATACCGGCTTTATCAAGTGTGAAATACGATTCGAATGATACTGACAACACACATAAATCTCAGATATTTCGGATTTTTCACTTCCTATAGCCTTCCCTGCCAATCAGAAAAGGTCTCTCATATTAGAGGATGTCGTCGCTTTACGAAGGCCACCCCGGCAGAATATGGGACCTTATCAAATATCCTCTCCTCTAAGGTTCACGTTGCCATAGAAATCGGTCGAAGAGCATCCAGAGAATTATCTACGTTGCAACTCAACAGAACGCCGGGAAATATTCAAAAACGAAGAGCGAGGCATGTGCACTGTCTGTAATGTCAGTACATCTATTGTGTGCGTTGCTATGAATGTTTACCGTGACCCGTAAAGCGCAGAAGGGCTGGACTGCCGGTCTAAGTTTCTACTCTCGTTGTTTTCATGGTAAATAGTGAATATTTGCAGACTAAGCTATAGGAACAGTTTCCTGAAAACATTGATCTTTTCGATCCGCTATGTCTTATATGTTTTGCCAGTAAGAAGAATGAGCCGAGTAAAGTATATATCCAAAATATTAGAGTTGTATTCTGTAATCCGAAAAAAACAATAGATGCAACTTTTAACCTTACGATTGTATTTTGAGCTCTTTGTATAAATATCAGCAAGCGGAGTAATGATAAGATTTACGTCTATTGTTTTTTTTTCGGATTACAAAATATAACTCTAATATTTTGGATATGTACTTTACTCGACTCATTCTTCTTACTGGCAAAACATATAAGACATAGCAGGTCGAAAAAATCAATGTTTACAGAAAACTATTCCTATAGCTTAGTCTTTTTGGGTCATCGTGGCTCATCGCGTAGTTTACAAATACCTGTAAATAGTTTTGGAGAAGAAGAAGATGGATGAAAAGGAATGTTCACGCCTTGCTCATCTGACGTCAAGAATGTCTACAACACTTATTTTTATGCTTTCTTCTTTGATGACAGTCAAAACAACCCAATCTGTTGTCAACCATAAGTTTCAATTAGATAGCAAAGAGCGCCCTTTCATGAAGCACGATATGGAATTGATTATTGAAGTGTATAGAGGTCAAGGAAGAACCGACACTCTCGTACTCCGAACGGTACTCCAGAGTATCGAGTGGCTATCACTAGTTATTATATATGATCGAAGTCAAAATTGAACATTGCTAGTATGATAACATAGTTGTACTGGCACAGAAATGCTTTTCTTGGTGGAGCACGTGGTATGAGCGTAGTAGTCCTTTGAACCCCATCCGTACGCACACCAACTCCCACGCCCTCAAGTATTGACGTAGGTTTTGAAGCTAGAAGCGATTGAATAATCTCATCATGAATGAAAAATTTCCTTTGTTTCATAATTAAAGTAAATAAAGCAAAAAGATATTTTTATAATTTATTTCGTTGTTTTTTAGGGAATTGTATTGATAGCGCAGGAACAATGACTCTTCGTCGTTTTCGTTCACATAAAAACAAACCATTCATTTTCTTTCCAATTTCCGGAATCCATACACAGCAAACAAACGGAAAAAGAAAAACAGTATAAATTGCCAAGAATGCCCCATTAAAGTAAAGTGTCATTACACCCTTTGTGGTAAAACCTAATAGAACACAACATTGTGACGCCATTCTTGGACTCATGAATGAAAGATAAAGAAGCGAAATCGATAAAGACTGAATAATTATTTTTCGTTCTTTTCGCCATTGAATTGATCGATTAAAACGAGCCTTTTGATGATGTACTCGAAGAAATAAAGCCACAGTTGATATACCAATAACAAACGTTGGTATTATTTGATGAAGAATTGCATCGTATTTAATAAAAAATGGTTCAAATAATATGCAAGGAATAGGTACACCGTTGAATGGAGACATTATAATTGATGTTTCACAAGATGGAAAGAGAATAAATGCAAAGTGGTAAACAAAACAATAGATTATAAGTGCTAATAAAGGCAAATAATGAATTAGAAATCGTTTTATTTTTGTATGTACCCATTGATTATGGAATATAAGAATATGTCGTTCAATTGAAGTCCAAGCAAAGCCTGTTAATTGTACAGTAAAACTTAAATAGTCAATAAATGTCCAGAAATGAGAAAAGCCAGCAGAGATTATCCACTCGTCACCAACATGATAATAATAAAGCATCAAGGGAACTGTTGTTAATTCATAAGTTAAAACAAAACAAAGAAGAACAATAATTGCATGATTATTCAAAGCTTGACGAAGTATTCGATCAGTTAAAAGATGATATTGAACAAATAAAGAGCATAAAACCGAAAGAATGTCCGAACTCAGAAAGAAACCAAATCGTATATTAACCGGAATAACTAACAAATCCGACTCGGCATAAGTATCTTTTATTGTTGAAAAAAGCATTTTTATAAACAGTGCTCGATAAGAGTCGTCTATGAAATAAGATCAAGGAAAGCAGATGAAAAATGTTTTCCTATCGAAAGGAATCAAGATAATGTCTAAAAGTAGAAGCTTACTTTTAATTAAAAAGTTATCTCGTAGAGGTGTGTGCATCAACTTTTGACGTAGTGTGCCCACTTTTTTTTCATGTGAGCAGGCTATACTACTAAACAAGATTACAGACGAAGATTATAAATAAGAATTACGCACTTTCTTTCTCAAGTAAAAAGATATTTACCATTTGGAATGAATTACAAGTATAGAATGAGATCGTGCTCATATTAAAAAAGGTCTAAGACGCTCTATTTATATCCAAAGCTCATTTAAATTCATTATTTACGTTAGTATTTGTTTAACAAGTTTGTGAGTGCGACTATTTTCAAATATCTCAAGAATGGCGTGAGATCAACGTGGACGGACAATTCGTCGCAGAATTAAATAATTGTAATAGGATTACGAAAATGTACAGATAGTTGAAGAGAGACATGTGTCTCCTGAAAACAACTATGTTCTTAAACAATTGACAAGATCTGCTGTGACAAGTTTAACATGTATTAAATCAAGGAAACTTGCACATCGTTGAGTAGTATACTGTTTAAGATTAGTTTTTCATTTGAAGCGCTCGACGTAAGGAATTTCTAAGACTCCATAGATGGTAAAAACAACTATTTTTATTCTACTATATATACATGAAAGTAGTAGTACTAACTGAAAAGGTGGTCTCGGTTTCATAAGAATAACTTCTCTAGTTCCATTAACAACAGTCAAAACATTTTAAAGCAAAGAAATAAATATTTAGTAAATAAACTGCTACAAAGTCTATGAACGTCTTCTTGGATTATTTTTTCATAGCCTGGCACGAGTTGAACTTCTACGTGATCTATGATACCGAAAACCACTTAATAGACAAAAGAGAAGCGAACTTTGCTTGATGCCCGATAAAGTCATGTTTTGCTCTTGAAAGCTTTCGAACACGTTTCTTTAGAGTTTAAGCTGTTTTAGTTTTTGGTACTTTGATAATATATTATCTTAGATCTTTTCAAATTTGTTCAGATTTTGGTTGTTGGAAATACCATCAGAGTACTAGTTTCAAGGGAGTAGGTGCAGGCACACAGGACCCAAAAATAGCGTTAGGTGTCGGTTGGATGCTGAGATGCTGAACAGATGTCGAGATGCTGGTTGGGTGCTCAGGTACTGAGAGTATCCGATCTGCATCCCCTCCTCTTGGAATTTACCTATCAATGAAGAACTATCAACACCTCATGAAATCATTGAGTCAAACAAATCATAAGCCATTAGTTCAAGTATTGATGAGACAAGAGTGGGGGTGAGGGTGAAGTATTTATTTATTGATCTCATGTACATTCACCCATCATTCACATACACATCTATCCTGTAATTTTCTCTGCAAACTTTTTTGTGCCTATGCCAGTAAATTTTATTCATAAAGTCACCGTACAAAACAATACACGTCCTGGAATGCATATGAAAAGATTGAAATAAGGAATATGAAAAATCGAGATTAGAATGACGGGAAAAATGAAGAAAACTGTCTTTTGTTCTTGATCTTTAACTTTATTTGATTGCACATTGCTGATAGAGTGACCAAATTGATGAGTCAAAATAAGGTCCATTCATGTAGTTAGCAATACTGTTAATGATAAAGCTGTTCAATGATGTAATAATACCAACACCCACTGTTGTATCAAAGCTTTGAAACCAAGGTCCACCAGAGCAACCACCAGTCATATCGCATGGAATGGTTTGGCCGTTAAAGCCATTGCCATATTTGGAAGCTGCAGCTTTACCGGAACAATATTGCATGACTTGACCTTGTTGCAAATTGTATGGATAACCAAATGAATAGGTCAGTGCATTTCGTGGATAGTTATAACCGAGACCTTCTGAACCTTGTAATGCTTGAATATGTTGACCTTTAGAATTCGTGTAAAGATTTACAAAGCAAACATCATAGTTGAAGTTTTTATTAACTGCCCAGGAACTGTATGCTGTCATAGCTCGAGCCGCCCATTTTCCATATGGTTGAGCTCCATTGTTGTAGCCGGGAATAAAAATAAAGTTCTGATTGATACGCCATTTCTTTGCATCGTAATCATAGCAACAGTGACCAGCTGTAACAATAGTACCTGAACACATTCCATAAGTGTCCGCAGTTATATTCCAAAAAATTTTTCCAACTGTATATGTATGACGCCCTGTACCGCTAAAAACTTTTCTGCTTGAGGGATCATTTTGATCTATTCCTGATACTATTCCTGCTTCTACGGCAGCCTTTTGTAATGATCCAATTGTCCCATCGACGAAGCCAAGTGGGCCATTCGCTATTGGCTGTAGTTTTGTCGCCGATTGAGCGTTAAGCTTACGGTTTGGCATCACTGGTCGTGCTGCTTTGAGTTTATCGTCAGTCCAAAACGAAAGAACTTTATCAACATGTTTGTCGACCGAAAAAGATCGTGAAGTATCAGCACGAGCAGTGACAATTTGAAGCGGCTCGTTTGCAGTTGGCGCAGCTACAACATAATAGATAAGTCCAATCAATACAAATAGTGATATAGACACTTTGATGTATGTCTCTTTCAATCGCTAGAACAAGAGAAAGGATTGTATGTCTGGCTTTTTTTTCAAATGAGTTTAGTAACCTTACCTTTTGTATATTTTACTTGAGTTTTGCAGTGTCGTTTGATGAATCGAAAAGTAACTCTTAGCTGCTTTTATAGTGTTTCATCGCTAGTACGTATCCATAGTAATCAATTCGATTTCGTTTTGTTTACGAGAAAAAACTCCATGTTCATGACGTCTCTGTTTTTTTTTCATGTGAGAGACATCCAAACACCTACTAAAAACTGTTCATCGTCATATTTTCTTTTCGCTTGCTCTTCTTATGGGTGAAAAACAAATGACTTTCAAAAACTGTATTGACTGTTTCAATGAGAGAAAAATAAGAAATGTGTAAAAATTTCAAGAATATGCAAACGACGAAAATTGTGGATGCGTCTGGGTGTAGGTGAAACTTGCGCTTTTTCGAAAATGACTAAAACTTCATAAAACATCGTTTGTGAGGGGTCTTGAGATCAGATGATGCTTCACGGATTATCGGAAGTTAGTCATATCGACTTTCGCAATGTGGATTTGCGCTAATGAATACTCCTGATAGTTAATGATCCAAGAATGATAAAGCAATAGTTCAGAAATGTTGACATGATAGACGTGCTACCTAAACAACTTCTTACGTATGTATGTAACATAAAACATAATTTCCATACAATGACAGTTTACGATTGTCATATTTATGTGAATTACAATCTAGTCGACTCTTGCTAATTTGTGCTTTAGACATCCGCCAGTTCTTGAATGTCTATTGTACTCTCCCCAATAATTGGTGAAAGTCTTAATTGGCGAACATCAGAAATCCCGTTGACTCTCATTAAGATCTCAATCGAGTTCGAAGATGACCCCGACATGCTAAGGTATTCTCGAGTTTCTGTATATATTTCTGTTATAAACATTCGATATTGCAGCATGAAAGATACCTATTGCTCTAAACAGGGAGAAACCAAGTGAGAATATATGTACAAGTGAATACGAGTAGCAACAATAATACTTGATATATATGCATTCCAATGATTTCAACGGAATGCTAAGTTATCGTATACACATAAATCATTGTTAGCGTTTACTGACAAGTAACGCTCGTCGTGCCGACTCACTTAACCCTACGTAAGAAAAGTTAGCACCACATTGGAGTATCTCTCGTCCAGATTCGCCTGAGAACTTGTGCTGAACTCAGAATTCAATTCTCTGTCGAATGATATAGTTTTCAATATGGACCATTGAGAAAAATTCTCACCCTCACCCACACCCTCAAGATAGGGTTCTTTGTTTGAACCGAAAGTAGACGAAATTAAACTTATATGGACGAAAGAGAATGCGACTGATCGCTAGCTCGTCAGGGAGAGAAATCCCGTACGAGTTTGAAACGCAGTTATACATGCAAGACCCATTGATACAAATAGTGCAAATCCAGTTCCAATTGATGAAACCAATAAAATCTGCGTAGGAAAGTCTTTGAATTGCATATAGCCTTCCGATCATTCTCTGTAAGGTTGGGTGGGTGAGGGTATGGCTGTGTAGATGAAGATCGCTAAACAGAAAACGCCATCACCTTCATTCTACCCTCAAATTTGGTTGAACAATACTTTACATTCGAAATAAAGTTGAGAGAGGTTTTTCAAATTGCGTACTGTTACGATTGTGTAAAGTTTAGGATGTTGTATAAGCAGATAAAATCCAAAGTTGTCGCATTTATTCAAATTAAAACTGTCGGTTAAAAGCAGTATTTCGTTTTAAACTCGAAAATTAAATAAAGCTGAACGATGTGGCTAATGCTATCGACTTTAGCACGTTCACAAATCTAAAGAGAAGTTATTTCAATTAAAAGTAGTGACGAATATTTTATTTGAAGAAACATTTGCATTTCCAATAAATGATTTAAAACAGAACAGAGAAAGAATGCAACTGTGTATATGATACGCGGCATAAATCGATTAAAAGGGAATGAAGCAAGCTTTTTATGAAGTTTTCTCAATATTATGAGTTAACTTCATTTTCAGTCTAAATGTTTTTAAAAAGTACGTCTTTCACTGTAAATTTCACGCATGAAACAAAATCGAAACACTGTTTGCAGCGCTATTCGCCGTAACTATGTCTGGCTTGTTGTCAGAATTTACATCGATTACTGCCACGAAGGCTGGTCCAGTGTCAGTTGTGTAAGTGATTTGGGGGGAAAATGTGCCATTCCCTTTGTTGAGAAGAATACTAACTGTGTCTGAATCCTTATTGGCAGCAATTATATCAGCTTTGCTGTCACAATTCACATCGAAAAGAGCTACAGAATATGGCTTAGTACCAGTTGCGTAGGTGGTTTGAGAGGAGAATGTGCCGTTGTCTTTATTGAGAAAGACACTAACTGTGTTGGCGTCATGATTGGCAGTAACTATATCAGGCTTGCTGTCCGAATTTACATCAGCGACTGCTACTGAATCAGGAGCAGTGGCAGTTGAGTAAGTAGTTTGTGAGGAAAATGTGCCGTTGCCTTTGTTGAGAAGAACACTAACTGTGTTACCATCATAATTGGCAGTAATTATATCAGGTTTGCTATCCGAATTTACATCAACGATTTGTACGGCAGATGGACTAGAATCAGTTGTGAAAGTAGTCTGGGGAAGAAATGTGCCATTCCCATTGTTGAGAAGAATACTAACTGTATCTGCGCCATAATTGGCAGTAATTATATCGGGTTTGCTATCCGAATTTACATCAGCGATTGCAACGGCGTATGTATGACTGCCGGCTGTGAAAGTAGTTTTAGAAGAAAATGTGCCGTTGCCGTTGTTAAGAAGAACACTAACTGTACTCGTAGCATAATTGGCAGTAACTATATCAGGATTGCTGTCCGAATTTACATCAGCGACTGCTACTGACAATGGTTGACTGCCAGTACCAGTTGAGTAAGTAGTTTGTGGAGAAAATGTGCCGTTGCCTTTGTTGAGAAAAACGCTAACTGTATCTGCACCAGAATTAGCAGCAATTATATCAGGTTTGCTATCCGAATTTACATCAATGACTGCTGCTGAAAATGGTTGACTACCAGTTGAGAAAGTGAGCGAACTCGAGTACGTGCTGTTGCATACTATGAAATACAGAGTAATATGATATTGTGAATTACTTATAATGTTGCTAAGTAGACTTATTATGACATTGTTTACATACAATCGATTTTAGTTTTCGTTTGAATTACACATCATCAAAAGGATATTACACATTTTTTTAGCAGTATAAACGTACGAGAGATATTTTAAGGGGCGCGCAAGAAACAAGTCTGATACCTCCTATGAGACCTTCTTTCTCGTTCATACGCCTTGAGGGCCATGAAACGAATACAAATAGTGTTACTATGCAGATAGATACAGCCTTATTCTACGTATTTCTATGTTAGAGACGCGCTTGACTGCACATCCATTTGTGTTAACAATAAATCTCTCGTCATCTTTCAATATACATGGAGACGTGGGATGTGGATATGGGTTTCATCGGTTCAATATTCTATCATTATCTACATTCTTGTTCCGAAACATGTAAAGGTGAATTCCACATTTTAGTCCCAAAGGTAGTGTGCTAACAAGCTTCTTTTCATTGAGGATCAGTAATATTCTACGGAACTCTACTAGATGTTGGTTCAGATTTGTCTGAAGCATTAGAATATCCGGTAATTAAGTTGGTTTCTAACTAAAACTACTACCACTAGATACAATGATTCACATTTGAAATATGATTATTTGATTTTAGAATGTATAGAATATAGTGAACATGAAACAAAAATTATATAAACTGCGAGCTATACATACCGCTAACAGAGCTTGTTGAAGTTGATGCTGATGGTGACGAAGTTGATGCTGATGGTGACGAGGATGACGTTGGTGGTGACGAAGCTAATGACGAAGTTGACACTACGATCGATCCTTTTTTGGGGAAAAATAAAAAAATGAGTAAAATCAAATAACGATTTATAATTAGAACTTGCATGTTCACTCAATCTACCACAAATATTTCCTAGTCTCAATGAATTATAATAATTTCAAATGTATGTATTGATCTGTCCTACTCTTTCCCTGCTGATTTTAGTATCTGAAGTTTGAACGTAACTGTCTATCTATGTATATTGTTTTAAAGTCTCGAAAATGAGCCTATGGATATAAGAGAGCGTGTTGGTATTGCCTCATTACTCCATACACTCTTCATAGCTCATAAATTTCACGATTTGTTAAATCGATTCTTACCGGATGGTGTTCGTGTGCCATCAATGACAACCATAGTAACTGTACCGGCGGTTCCAACTAATGTAGTGTTTTGATTAACGTCATTACTAAACAACTGACAATTAGAAGTCGATTGACGAAAACTAGCAGCTTTGCATTGACTGTTTTCTAAGCAACTAACTTGACAGTTAAGAATATTAGATACAGTAATGTTAGCAATGGGTAAGCAAGATGTTATAGTACATTGAAACTGCCATCCATCCATAATGACCATCTCGAACGATCGGGTATTTTGTGCAATTGCTTGGTCAAAAACAATAATTAGCAACAATAGTGTTCTTTTCATGCACGTCATATTTAGTCAGACTTCAGCTTGTTTTCTCAGGAAAATAGCGCAAATGCAAATCAAAATGAAACTAGAAGCATCTATTATCGATGAAAACTCTTTTTTCCCGTTTTGTCCTTCTCTCCGTACTTTTTTAATAAATTGCATGGCAACATTTGTATATCTAGTTTAAATTAGCTAATGGATTGTCCTTTTAAAAATTGTTCTATTTTATTTTCAATATTATGAGACGATAAAGCCAGAAGAAGGCAAGAGTTTTTTTTTTCTTTTGGTTAGTATGCATCTTAGACTAAATTAACGAAGAATATGCGTCTGTGAAACCATAGAAACAAATTGTATATCCAGAACGTTGAGTTACATCTTGAGCGAATAACAAACAAGAAAAATTTCTTGTTACAGTCGATGCAATTTGTTTTATCAAACTCGAGTACTTGTTAGAATATTTCACTAGATAAAAAATGGACTTTTGTACTAGGAGATAACTTCAAGTATTTTCGCTTCATGTACCGACAGTTTTGTCATCATAAAAACGCCAAGTTACAAAAGAAAGCTTTCTTTCGAATTCAATCACTTTAAAAGAACTGGATACACACTGTTATATAGTTAGCTGACGTAAAGCGAACAATTTTCTACGGGCTTCCTCTTACTGAACATCTACTCTTTAATATGACAGAGTGAAAAAATCCTTAAATCCTAAAGATATGACTGGAAAATGAATGGAATTTAAAAACATTATGAGCAAAGTTAGAAAAAGTCATCAAATTCTATTTTGAAACTCGTTTAACATAAATTTTATCTTAGTTCATGAGCAATCGACTTATACATTCAAATTGAATCAAAAAAGAAAAAGTTTCAAATGATCGTTTATCTCATACCGTGTAACAAATAACTATAATGTTAATTACATTTCATATCTTTCATTGGTAATTACTTATGTTTAGAAGAAGATAAAGCAATTTGTTCAATGCTCTTACGTCAAATCCCTTTTTCTTTTTGAATGACTTAACAATGCTTGTACAGATACAGCTGTATGTTAAATACCCGTAATTCTACGGCCATGAGCGTCTATTATTATTGTTTTAACACAATATTAATATTTACGCATTAAGAACTCTGGAAAATATCAATATTCTTTCAGTTTTTTCCATCTTCCTAAAGCACCATTCTCTTTTTCTACAATAACGATGAAAACAATTTCCGTAATTAAAATACACTTGCTGAAGGTTTACACAACCATTTATAAAGACATCCCTGGGAATTTACGTATATTTTCAATTTATAAGTTGCTTACTTTCCTTGAATTTTATTTTCAAAACTCATAATAACAAACTATTAACAATAATAATCTAACGTGTTGTTTCCGCTTGAGAGACGAAGCTCAATCTGTTTATTCGAAAACAGATCAATCAAGAATAAAGAAGAAGAATAAGAGAACAACAGATGAAGAATGATGTGAAGTCAGGGTTGCCATATGTCCTCCTTTTGAGGTTACAGTACTTAAAAAGAAAATTGTAGCCCATTTGGACTGTTTTCCTTCACACAAGGTTACCAGATATTTTGTAAAATCTTATGACTGAAATCAAATTGTATTTGTAATCGATTGTAGTTTTATTTTAAAAAATCTATATATACAGTACTGGCCAAAATTATAAGAACAGAGCTTTTCTCAAAGTGTTAGCGTGTTCTCATCCCCTCTTTTCCTATTTAGACTAATTTAAAAATCAGTATATANCGGAACAATATTGCATGACTTGACCTTGTTGCAAATTGTATGGATAACCAAATGAATATGTCAGTGCATTTCGTGGATAGTTATAACCGAGACCTTCTGAACCCTGTAACGCTTGAATATGTTGACCTTTAGAATTTGTATAAAGGTTTACAAAACAAACATCATAGTTGTAGTTTTGATTAACTGTCCAGGAACTATATGCTGTCATAGCTCGAGCCGCCCATTTACCATATGGTTGAGCTCCATTATTGTAGCCGGGAATAAAAATAAAGTTCTGATTGATACGCCATTTCTTTGCATCATGATCATAGCAACAGTGACCAGCTGTGACAATTGTATCTTTATTTCCAGCTGTAACAATAGTACCTGAGCATATTCCATAACTGTTCGCAGTTATATTCCAAAAAATTTTCCCAACTGTATATGTATGACGTCCTGTACCGCTAAAAACTTTTCTGCTTGAGGGATCATTTTGATCTATTCCTGAAACAATTCCTGCTTCTACGGCTGCCTTTTGTAATGATCCAATTGTTCCATCGACGAAGCCAAGTGGGCCATTCGTTATTGGCTGCAGTTTTGTTATCGATTGAGCGTTAAGCTTACGGTTTGGCATCACTGGTCGTGCTGCTTTCAGTTTATCGTCAGTCCAAAACGAAAGGACTTTATCAACATGTTTGTCGACTGAAAAAGATCGTGAAGTATCAGCACGAGCAGTAACAATTTGAAGCGGCTCATTTGCAGTTGGTGCAGCTAAAACATAATAGATAAATCCAATCAATACAAATAGTGATATAGACATTTTGATTTATGTCTCTTTCAATCGCTAGAACGAGAGAAGGGAGAGAAAGGATTGTATGTCTGTTTTTTTAAAGGAGTTTAGTAACCTTACCTTTTATATATGTTACTTGAGTTTCGCAGTGTCGTTCGATGAATCGAAAAGCAACTCTTCGCTGCTTTTATAATGTTTCATCGCTAGTACGTATCCATAGTAATCAATTCGATTTCGTTTTGTTTACGAGAAAAAATCCCATGTTCATGACGTCTGTTTTTCTTTATATGTCAGAGACATCCAGACATCTACTAAAAATTATTCATCGTCATATTTTCTCTTCGCTTGCTCTTCTTATGGCTGAAAAGCAAATAATTTTCAAAAACTGTATTGAATGTTTCAATGAGAGAAACATAAGAAGTGGGTAGAAATTTCAAGAACATGCAAACGACGAAAATTGTGGATGGGTTTGGGTGTGGGTGAAACTTGCGCTTTTACGTACCAATTTCACCCTTACCCTCACCCTCGTTATTAGGATGGTAGCTAACTCGAATTCTTTAAAGTTACGTATTTGTAAAATGGTCTTCAATAGACATTCTCACGTAACAAACCTGGTTTCGTGTATTCAAAAAGTGAGTAATTAAACTACTAAAATCGGACAGTATGTCCGGCCGTTTATGCGATAACTCTCGAAAGCTACATGCACGCGAACCCAAAATTTTCTCTGCAACATTATCTCATTAATATCTCGGTCGACTTCGACGATAAGAAGGATCGGCCAAGAATTGACAAAGTTATTCTAAAAATACTGAAAAATCATCAGACCACCCTCTGAGGAGTAGTACAGCGCTTTTTCGAAAAAAATAGTTTTTTCTTAAAACCCTTTAAGACATATGGATCGATGCAACTTTTAATGCTGACTCCGAATTTGATATTTCCTCCACTGAAAGGAGGATCATATGAAAAAATAATTTGTGTCTGTCTATGTATCAGAATCAACGGTCAAAAAACGGTTTTTTTGAAAATGATTAAAACTTCATAAAACATCGTTTGTGAGGGGTCTTGAGATTAGATGATGCTTCACGAATTATCGGAAGTTAGTCATATCGACTTTCGCAATGTGGATTTGCGCTAATGAGTACTCCTCATAGTTGATGATCCAAGAATGATAAAGCAGTAGTTCGGAAATGTTGATATGATAGACGTGCTACCTAAACAACTTCTTACGTATGTATGTAATATAAAACATAATTTCCATACAATGACAGTTTACGATTGTCTTATTTATGTGAATTACAATCTGGGCAACTCTGGCTAATTTGTGCTTTAGAAATTCGCCAGTTATTGAATGTCCATTGTACTCTCCCCAATACATTGCACGAAATTTCCCCAATAATTGGTGAAAGTCTTAATTGGGGAAGGTCAGAGATCCCGCTGACTCTCATTAAGATCTCAATCAAGTTCGAAGATGAGCCTGACATGCTAAGGTATTCCAGAGTTTTTGTAAAAATACTGACTTTTCGCCTATGAATTTCCTTTGCCTTCTCATAAACTTCTTGCAGTCCACTTAACTTTCGGATAAAATCTGAAGTTTCCGTATTTATTTCTGTTATAAACATTCGATATTGCAGTATTAAAGATACCTATTGCTCTAAACAGGGAGAAACCAAGTGAGAATATATGTACAAGTGAATATGAGTAGCAACAATAATACTTGATATATATGCATTCCAATGATTTCAACGGAATGCTAAGTTATCATATACGCATAAATCATTGTTAGCGTTTATTGACAAGTAAAGCTCGTCGTGGTGACTCACTTAACCCTACGTAATAAAAGTTAGCACCATATTGGAGTATCTCTTGTCCAAATTCGCTGAGAACTTGTGCTGAGTCTAAAAATGGTTGTGCTGAACTCAGAATTCAATTCTCTGTCGAATTATATAGTTTTTAATATGGACCATTGAGAAAAAAATTCTCACCCTCACCCACACCCTAATCGCTAGCTCGTCAGGAAGAGAAATCCCGTACGAGTTTGAAACGCAGTTGTACATGCAAGACCCGCTGATACAGATAGTGCAAATCCAGTTCCAATTGCTGAAACCAATGATATCTGCGCAAGAAAGTCTTTGAATTGCATATAGCGTTCCCATCATTCTCTGTCAGGTTCACTAGACACATTGACATCAAGATGTTTCGTATTGATGCTGTTGAAAATCATACTAAAACAAGAAGTTTACTACAAGAGATTCTTCTTGACCGTGGGTGTGAAGATGAAGATCGCTAAAGAGAAAACGCCATCACCTTCATTCTACCCTCAAATTTGGTTGAACAATACTTTACATTCGAAATAAATTTGAGAGAGATTTCTCAAATTGCGTACTGTTACGATTGTGTAAAGTTTAGGATGTTGTATAAGCAACTGTTTGATTAAATAAGAAACTCGAGTTGATTTTTTAATTTTTGTACGAAAAAGAAAAGAGCATTAGGATGTAGGTAGGTAAGAAAAGAAACACTTAACACCCGCACCATCGAAACGATTTTTTTTTTGTTTTCCATTGAAAGTCGAAAGAAACGAGAAAAAAACAGCCATTTTCTATTCTGTCATGTATATGTACTTTCTTCCATGATCCATCTACAGGGTGTCCCAAAAGTCCGTATGGAAAGTTTTCATTAATATCTCCTATACAATACAAGCAATTAAATTGTTTTTTTTTATAGAAAGATAGTATATTCTCTTAAGTTTCACTTCATATATTTTGAGTTACAACAAATGCTCAAAATGATTACCATCACTCTGAACACATAAATGCATCCTTTTCACAATATTGAAAAAAACATTACACAAAGTTTCTTTANAGATAGTGTAAACAAAGCTCAATGAAACTAGCCTATTTAGAGAACTTTAAGTACAAAAATATATGGAAAGTAATAGCTAAGAAGGAAAAGTTTCGAAAAACATCAGTGTGCATTTTATATGAAAAAGTGTGAAAAGTTGAGCTTTGGAAAGCAAAGATGCTGTGACATTTTACGAAATCTAAACCGAGCAAATGATCGTCTCAATGAACTCTACAAACGCTGAAATTTTCGCGTTGTTAGGAAATATTTCATGCAACAGTGGTAGAAATCCCATGGAAACATCTATATACTAACAACTATTGTGAATTGATATGGATGTCTAACGATACGATTATCTTTTTAAATTCATTTGATTATCGATATAAATGCTCGAATATATTATAGTAGAACACAAATAGCTATTGGATCAGATGTATCACTGCCATGAAGGAATATATTTGATAACCAATATATATGCATATTTCTTCTTATAGAAAAAGGAATCTCACAAAAATCTATAGTTTATTTGCTTGCTTATCTTTACATTTTACTGATTAACTGAGAAATAAAACGAAACAAAGATGTTTTTAGTCTACTCAAAGAGTGAGTGCACTATTGTAATCGATCTGTGAGTCTGTTCGTTTACACGATAACTCTCGAGAAAAGAGTTCGATCGAGCCCCATCGGCTCAGCTATTCCTAAGCTCTTCCCATAAACTTTTTGCAATACAATTAACTTTGAGATAAAATCCAAAGTTGTCGCAATTATTCAAATTAAAACTGTCGGTTAAAGGCAGTATTTCGTTTTAAACTCAAAAACTAAATAAAGCTGAACGATGTGGCTCATGCTATCGACTTTAGTACGTTCACAAATCTAAAGAGAAGTTATTTCAACTAAAAGCAGTTATGGTTATTTTATTTGAAGAAGCATTTGCGTTTGCAATAAATGATTTAAAACAAAGCAGAGAAAGAATGCAACTGTGTATATGATACGCGGCATAAATTGATGAAAAGGGAATGAAGCAAGCTTTTTATGAAGTTTTCTCAATATTATGAGTTAACTCCATTTTTAGTCTAAATGTTTTTGAAAAAGTACGTCTTTCACTGTAAATTTCACGCATGAAACAAAATCGAAACACTGTTTGCAGCGTTATTCGCCGTAACTATGTCTGGCTTGTTGTCAGAATTTACATCGATTACTGCCACGAAGGCTGGCCCAGTGTCAGTTGCGTAAGTGGTTTGGGGGGAAAACGTGCCATTCCCTTTGTTGAGAAGAATACTAACTGTGTCTGCATCCTTATTGGCAGCAATTATATCAGCTTTGCTGTCACAATTCACATCAAAAAGAGCTACAGAATATGGCTTAGTACCAGTTGCGTAGGTGATTTGAGAGGAGAATGTGCCGTTGCCTTTATTGAGAAGGACACTAACTGTGTTGGCGTCATGATTGGCAGTAACTATATCAGGCTTGCTATCCGAATTTACATCAGCGACTGCTACTGAATCAGGAGCAGCGGCAGTTACATAATTAGTTGGCGAAGAAAATGTGCCGTTGCCTTTGTTGAGAAGAACACTAACTGTGCTCGAATCATAATTGGCAGTAATTATATCAGGTTTGCTATCCGAATTTACGTCAACGATTTGTACGGCATATGGACCAGAGTCAGTTGTGAAAGTAGTTTGGGGAAAAAATGTGCCATTCCCTTTGTTGAGAAGAATACTAACTGTATTTGCACCATAATTTGCAGTAATTATATCGGGTTTGTTATCCGAATTTACATCAGCGATTGCAACGGCGTATGTATAACTGCCGGTTGTGAAAGTAGTTTTAGAAGAAAATGTGCCGTTGCCGTTGTTAAGAAGAACACTAACTGTATTCGTACCATAATTGGCAGTAACTATATCAGGCTTGCTGTCCGAATTTACATCATAGACTGCTACTGACAATGGTTGACTACCAGAACCAGTTGAGTAAGTAGTTTGTGAAGAAAATGTGCCGTTGCCTTTGTTGAGAAGAACGCTAACTGTATCTGCACCATAATTACCAGTAATTATATCAGGTTTGCTATCCGAATTTACATCAATGACTGCTGCTGAAAATGGTTGACTACCAGTTGAGAAAGTGAGCGAACTCGAGTACGTGCTGTTGCATACTATGAAATACAGAGTAATATGATATTGTGAATTACTTATAATGTTGCTAAGTAGACTTATTATGCCATTGTTTATATACAAGCGATTTTAGTTTTTTTTGAATTACACATCATCAAAAGGATTTTCACATCAATTATAAAACAATATTAAACATTTTTGAACAGTATAAACATACGAAAGATATTTTAAGGAAGCGCCCGAGAAACAAGTATAATACCTCTTGTGAGACCTTCTTCCTCAGTCATACGCCTTGAGGGTAATAAAACCAATACAAATAATGTTATCATGGCGATATAGATACAGCCTTATTCTATGCATTTCTATGTTAGAGACGCGCTTGACTGTACATCCCTTTGTGTTAACAATAAATCTCTCGTCATCTTTTAATACACACGGAGACGTGATATGTGAATATGGGTTTCATTGGTTCAATATTCTATCACCGTCCACATTCTTGCTGCGAAACATGCGAATGTGAGTTGCACATTTTAGCGCCAAAGGTGCTGTGCTGACAAGCTTCTTTTTATTGAGAATCAGTAATATTCTACGGAACTCTACTAGATGTTGGTTCAGATTTGTCTGAAATATTAGAATATCCGGTGATTAAGTTGGTTTCTAACTAAAACTAAAACTATTACTAGATACAATGACTCACTTTTGAAATATGATTATCTGATTTCAGAATGTATAGAATATAGGGCACATGAAACAAAAATTATTTAAACTGCGAGCTATACATACCGCTAACAGAGCTCGTTAAAGTTGATGCTGATGGTGACGAAGTTGATACTGATGATGACGAGGGCGATGCTGGTGGCGACGAAGTTGATACTGATGATGACGAGGGCGATGCTGGTGGCGACGAAGTTGATACTGATGATGACGAGGGCGATGCTGGTGGCGACGAAGTTGATACTGATGATGACGAGGCCGATGCTGGTGGCGACGAAGTTGACACTACGATCGATCCTTTTTTTGGGAAAAATTAAAAAATGAGAAAAATCAAGTAACGATTTATAGTTAGAAATTGCATGTTCACTCTATCTATCACAGATATTTTCCCAGTCTCAGTGAATTATAATAATTTCAAAAGTATTTATCGAACTGTTCTACTGTTTCCCTGCTGATTTTAGTATCTGAAGTTTCAACATAAATTCTTTCTGTGTCTATTGTTTTAAAATCTCGAAAATGAGCCTATGGATATAAGAGAGCGTGTTGGTATTGCCTCATTACTCCATACACTCTTCGTAGGTCATAAATTTCATGATTTGTTAAATCGATTCTTACCAGATGGCACTCGTGTGCCATCGATGACAATCATAGTAACTGTACCAGCGGCTCCAACTAATGTAGTATTTTGATTAACGTCATTACTAAACAATTGACAATTAGAAGTCGATTGGCGAAAACTAGCAGCTTTGCATTGACTTTGTTCTAAACAACTAACTTGACAGTTAAGAATATTAGATACAGTAAAGTTAGCAATGGGTAAGCAAGTTGTTATAGCACATTGAAACTGTTGTCCATCCATAATAACCATCTCGAATGATCTTGTATTTTGTGCAATTGCTTGATCAAAAATAATAATTAGAAACAATAGTGTACTTCTCATCCACATCATATTTAGTCAGACTTCGACTTGTCAAAATAAAACTAGAAGCATCTATTGTCGATGAAAGCTCTTTTTTCTCGTTTTGTCCTCTTCTCCGTACTTTTTTAATAAATTACATGGCCACATTTGTATATCGAGTTTAAATTACTTAATGGATTGCCCTTTAAAAAATTGTTCTATTTTATTTCGAATATTATGAAACGATAAAGCTAGAAGAAAGCAAGAATTTTTTCTCTTGATTAGTATGCACTTTAAAGTAAATTATATTTTCCATCTATGTTGAGCGCATTAACTAAGAGACTATATGCCTATGGATCCATAGAAACAGATCGTATATCCAGAACGTTGAGTTACATCTAGAGAAAATAACAAACAAGCAAAATTCTTTTTTACAGTCGAAGCACCTTGTTTTGTCAAACTCGAGTGCTTGTTAGAATATTTCACTGGATAAAAACAGACTTTTGTACTTGGAGATAACTTCAAGTATTTTCAATTCTTATGTACCGACCGTTTTGTCATCTTAAAAACGCTAAGTTAAAAAACAAAACTCTTTCTTTGGAATTCAATCACTTGAAATGAACTGGATACACACTGTTATACAGTTAGATGACGTAAATCAAACAATTTTCTACAGACTTCTTCTTACTGAACATCTATTCTTCAATATGACAAAGTGAAAAAGTCCTTTTCCAGTTTTATTTTTAAAGATAGTGATATGAAAGAGGCTCAATGATCGAGCCTCCGTCGCTTAAAAATTCTTAAATGCTAAAGGTATGGCAGGAAACTGAATGGAATGTAAAAATATTATGAGCAAAGTTATGAAAAGTCATCAAATTCTGTTTTTGAAACTTGTTCAACATAAGTTTTATCTTAATTCATAAGCAATCAACTTATAAACTCAAATAGAACCAAATAAGAAAACTTTCAAATAATCGTTTATCACATACCATGTAACAAATAACTATAGTGTTAATTACATTTCATATCTTTCATTGATAATTAGTTATGTTTAGAAGAAGATAAAGCAATTTTCGGAATGTTCTTACGTCAAATCTCTTTTTCCTTTTGAATGATTTAACATTGCTTGTAGAGATACAGCTGTATGTTAAATACCCGTTATTTTATGGTAATCAGCGTCTATTATTATTGTTTTAACACAATATTGATATTTACGCATTAAGAACTCTGAAAAATATCAATATTCTTTCAGTTTTTTTCCATCTTCCTAAAGCACTATTCTCTTTTTCCACAATAACGATGAAAACAATTTCCGTAATTAAAATACATTCGTTGAAGGTTTACACAACAATTTATAAAGACATTCCTGGAAATTTACGTATATTTTCAATTTATAAGTTGCTTACTTTTCTTGAATTTTATTTTCAAAATTCATAATAACAAACTATTAACAATAATAACCTAACGTGTTGTTTTCACTCGAGAGACAAAGCTCAATCTGTTTATTCGTAAACAGAGCAACCAATAAAGAAGAATAATAAGAGAACGACAGATTAAGAATGATGTGAACTCAGGGTTGCCATATGTACCCCTTTTGAGGTTATAGTACTTAAAAAGAAAACTGTAGTCCATTTGAACTATTTTCTTTCGCATAAGACTGAAATATATTTTGTCAAAATCTTATGAGTAAAATCATTGTATTTGTAAGCAATTGTAGTTTTATTTTAAAAAATCTATATACATATATATAAAGAAGAAAGTTTGTCTGTTTGTTTGTTTATTTGTTCGCTATGCATTCAGTCCCTGTAATAGCTATCGGCGTGAAACTTTCCACGATGCTTCCATGAGCCCTAAGGAAGGTCGACATCTACTTTGTTCAGAGAACAAATGAACCAGACGTTTGCTACAGGCAATCTATGA